CCCACTCCTTTTTCTAAGCTGCATACTTTCATAGAATCCCAATACATGTAGGTTAACATAAAGAGAACAGAAAGGACAGTGTTAGGGAAAGGAGCACCAGCAGGCATACACTGCAGATTCTACAACTAAACAGGAGATGGGTACAGCTTTTCCAGTGCACATGTATAAGTGGCACAGAAGAACAGGACTTAGGGAGTGGGAGAAGGGATGGTAACTGTCATTTTACTAAAGTGAGAATTTGTTACACTGACTTAGTTTAACATTTCATCTCTCAAAATCAGTGGAAACAAACTGCAGAAAATTGTTCTGGGTTTAAGCTATTCAACTAGCAACAACTGGCTGGTGATATAGAAGGTGACAGAAATTTGGGAGTAAAAGTAACTAATAGCTCTGGCTAAATCTGAACCATGACATTAGCAAAATGAATTTCAAAAAGTTCAGAGAACTAATTGGTATAATTTTGTGGCTAGAGTTTTCAAAAGAGGCTAATAACTAACAAGAAATAGAAAATTATTTAAAAAAAATTCTAACCAAGCAATTGTAAATAATCTTAATGCAAAGTAGAGGGAAATAAAACAAAGACAGCAGCTTAAAGGGTTTTCTTATATGAGCTCACATTAAAAATATATAACTTTAAAAAGAAGGGCACATATACTGGGAAGAACAGAAAATAACAATGTGAACCTGTAAGAACAGGCCAGGTTTGGTTTGAATAAGGTAAGAGCAAAAGGTTTTCAAAGCAAGATTGAAAAAAGTTAAGCACCCTGACCAGGTAAAAAGACAGAGAAGACAGACCTTGTCCAATTCCTATCATGATTCCCCTTTCTGTTAGAAAGGTTTTCAACCTGGAAAGGACATAACAAAAATCCTAATAAACAAAATGCAGCCCATGAAAAGTGAGAGCAATCTACACATGTAAATGCCATAAAACATAGAACCTATAGTTCAAGAAACAAATTCTAACATGTACTACAGTAATGCACAGTTTATAAATATTTAGGCACTAGAAATGTACCTAAGTCTTAAAAAAGTTTTATTTTCATCTTTGATATTATACCTTTACAATAGAAACAAATCTGAAAGTTTTTTTGACAACAGTAAAGCATTTTACAAAGTTTTTAATAACATCATTATGTATATTATGTAAGGCTGCAGCTAAGCCAACAACAAGAACCAATCACCCGAAGACCACCAGAAATATAATCTCTAGTAAGCCTTGCCTGGAGACCGATTTAACTTATTTTATCAGCAATACCAAAAAAGAAAAAAGAAAAAAAAAAAACAAAAACTTTAGTAGGCCCTGCCTTATACTGTTTGATAGATTAGTTGCTTGAATAGACACAAAAATTGATGTGTTTATGAAAATTTAGAGAAGATATTCAATTGTATAGAAAACCTGACACTTTAGAACAGGATTAGGTTTTAAAAGCCTCATTACATGGAGGGCATGTTAACCATTATTAAAATTTGAAGGACGTGTGTGTATGAATGGGTTGGTTCTATGTAACCCTAAAGTAGAATCACTGAGTAGAAGGTATAGGGGAACAAATTTCAGGGTGAGAAAAGGATAAACTTTCTAACAGAGTGATTCAAAGATGGAATGTGCTCATTCTTCCATTAATGAGCTTCTAATCGCTGAATATACATAAGCATGGGAGAGATGACTAGTTCTCAGAAGATATGAGAGGTGAAATGAAATCAGTAGTTTTCAAATTAGTTTTAATAAAAGAACCACTACACTGAGAAACCTTACCCTGAAGACTGATACACAAAACAGAGAGAAAAAAACTGCTCTAGTTGAAATTCCCTACCACATCTCACACTGAATTATTTTAAAATCAGATCAGGTGCTCTTCAAAGCAGTTCATATTTGATTAGTAAAACTACAATTTCTCAAGATTTATTACCCTAGATGGTTTAGATGAATGGTCTCTCCAATGGAGTGAATGTGAGGATCTGTTGGGAGTGTGGAGAAAATCATAACATATATATCAAAATAAGAAATTATACTTTATGGATTGAGAGTAGTAGTACCTGTAACTTTCAAGAGTTTGTCATGTCAGTCAGAGCCATGATCAACTATAATGCTCCCAGAAACTGAGGTGTTTTAACAATTTAAAAAGAATGTGAAAGTTTTTGAGAGACAGAAAAAAAATCAACACCCACACCTACTAATTTAACATAACTGTTTTAATTTTTGTATATTTATATCTAGCCTCTATCCACATGCAGAGACATCTGGGGAGCTATTAACATGGTACATGAGATTTTTAAGATTTTCTCCACATAAATTAAGATGAATTATTTCCACAAATGTCTATAAGCTTCATAATAATTTTATGGTTACATAGAAATGAAGATTCATAATGTAGTAAAACAATTTCCTACTGTTGACCATTCAAATCAACTGGCTCTTCTCTGTTATTATATAGTTATTCTTATCTCTGTACAATGGTAGCTTTTTTCCTTCTATTAGATGTATCCTGAAGATAAGATCCCTAAAGTGGGATTAGTGAACCAAAAAGTATGAACTTTGATGGTTCTTGCTATATACAGTAATGCTTTCCAATGGGTCTTAATCAATTCACCTGTAGTCACTACCTGAACCTTGAACAAAACACTAGCTGAGCACTTTGTACATTTTGTACCTTACTTCTCATAGCTACTATTCCTGTTTTATGGCTAAAGAACCTGAGGCTAAGGGAGGCAACAGAGAGCATGTATATTTTAAGGTCTTACTAAAAAATATAATACACACTGCCAAATTCTTATTTAAAATATATATTCACATACATATGTATTTATTTAAAAACAGGCAGCTGTTTATGTCATACAGTCAATCCATGTATCTAGATCAGCATTTCCTGAGGCATGTTGGATGACATACTTGGCTCTCATTACTTTGGCTCCAAAGAAAACTGTTTTCCTTTAACTATACCATGGTGTTATGCCTTTGGCTTACACTGAGGGACACTTAAAAAGTATCCATATGAAACTCACTACATATTACATTTATTGTTGAAATGGTGATGAGAACTTCATTTACTATATCTCTTCAATACCAAATCCAAGGCTCTCAGGGAAAAATACTTCTCAAACAGCGGGGCCAGAAATACTTTGCTTTTCCTAAACCACCAGTGTACATTTTATCTAATGAACAATGGAAAATTTTAACAGATAACAGTATTTACTTTAACCACTAGCAAGCTCAGAGCAATTTCTGAAATCCTCTTCGGTAACTATTAAGATATTCAAGGCATGCATTTCTCTCAACTAATTTTAGCCCTGCTCTCTCAGCCTACTATTCCTCTATTAAACTCCCCATCCCCTGATTTACTTCAACTTTGAAGTAAACTCTCAGGATCACAGCCCACTTTCCATATTTCTGTGGAAATCTGACTTCAGTAGCTGTAAGAATGTGTGTGTATATACACACAAAGCAATTAAAATATATGTATTTTTGTTAACTACTATAACCTGAATCAAAGCAACATAAAAATAAGCTTACACTAGGCTCTACTAGGTAGACAAACTGCCTAAACACCTAGTTTACTTTAACTAGTTTAGTATCTCACATTAAGAAAACCATTTAAAATTACTCAAAACTTACCAATCATAACTCTTCTTTTTATTCACAGTCTAAAGCAATATTCTAATAAACTCTGGAAACTAGCTCAACAAGCAAATGCATCTAGTTCAGGGTTAGTGTCTATTTCAAGTCTTGAACAATCAACATAATCTACCTTGTGATTTAGTAAGTTTATTAACAGCTCATCTAGGCAATCTGTCTTACTTATAAATAAACAGGTCTCACACACACACACACATATATATACATATAGATATATATATGTTTAAAACCCTATCTGTTACATTTAAAAAATGTAAAGCACATTTCAGTACATATTTGGTTTTTACAAAATTACTCCAGTACAGCACTGCCTCATTTCACAGAAATGAGAAAACTAGTAAGACATACTAAAGCTAACCAAGTTCAAATGACTTTCTCAAAGTAGCATGTGCTGATAGAACTAGAAGTAGAAAAGAGCTCTTTTTTCCCAGACTTCTTCTGTAACAAAGGTAGGACATGGACTAGCATGAAATGTCTTTAATCTTCACTAGCAACATTCCAAAAGATTAAGATTGGACAGAAACAAACACCTCTGTGTCAGACAACAGATGGATTTTGGCTTTACTGCTGAATGCAGGGAGTAATGAAAGATTTTTATCTCCTGCAGCATAAATGCCCTTAGGCAAAAATGGGTCTGATCAATCTTAGTTCAATGAAACAGATGATGTAATGAAAATAAAGTCAGCTCCTGACATCTGCTTTTTTGTAAGAAAAAAGGGGATACCAAATTCTGAGCCTGATTATGCTATTTAGTACATTTCTAACTTCATCCAGCCATTCTTCGGAGGACCTTCAATTCACTCAAGGGTTGAGTATTTTCAGAATATCTGTAATGACAGTGATTAGTACTAAATCAGGCCATACCATTAATTGGCTAAGCTGTATCCTGGGAGATCACGAGGGCTTTTTCTCTTTTCACAGACAAGATCTAGTCACATTTTAATCTAAATCTTAGTTAAATGTATCTGCATTGCAGTTTTAGTCCTGCATTCTATATTTCATACTTTTTAAAATTTTGCCTCTCCAGTATACTACTATAATTTGCATTCAGGGTGCTGGAACGAAAATGAATTATCTTCAGTAACATTATGTTTGTATAGATTGCTTTCCACTATCGGCATCTTATTTGATATATATCCATCAAGAAATTATATGAAAAGCATGGCTTTTAAAATAACAAAAAAGTATTTAAGGAGTCCTTTTTGAAAATAGAGTACTATTTTATTCACATTTATTCATTTGGCTGTGCTGTTATTGATACTTGGAAGGTATTAAATATTCACATGTATCAAAATAAATAAAATGGAGGTAATATGTCTTTAAAATATATACACATATATATTTATAGAAGAGACTTATGTGTTCTCACCTGAGGCTGCTGTGGCATTTGTTGGGGTTGAAGCAGCTGCTTGAATCCGAGCATGAGGAGGAATAAGGATGGTAGCTAGAGGTGGATTACTTGACAGTTCTAGAGAAAAGGTAAAACATAGGTTAGAGTTCATTTTTAACTCTGTATGTGAAACAACTTTGTTGGTAACAATAAATATAAGATACTACAGTAAAACACCGATTTTAACAACAACAAAAAAGATGTGATAAACCTACATCTGAAACTAAATCAATGAGCCACAGAGAAAGCACACAGAAATGTTGTGATACACAACCAAGGCACTATCTGCTAAAATTAGAATATGTTTGAGATCTAAAGCTATCTGGGAGAAAGGTACTGGCCAAAAGTTTGAGAATAAGCATATTAATAAAATATGTTAACATTTTTCATTTACTTAAACATACGAGGTTTTCCCAAACGACTCTGACAATACTTGACTACAGGAATCGAGGGTGATGGTGTCAGAGGAAAAAGAATATGACCTGTGTGTCTGCATATGTATGCACAGACAACCATGCATATAACAACTTACCCAACTGTTTATGCAGGTAAGATCTACTTGTTCAAATGTTAGTGGAAATAGTGGAAATAGGATTTAATAAGCATTTCTTTAAAGTCTTTCTGTTTTTACTAAAATAAGAATGATTTTATTCAATTCTATTTTGCTTTGAATTCAGTAAGATTGTTATTTTTTAAAAGTTTGAAATAGTCTCTTTATCTGTATGTAGAGTTTCTCTTTGTCAATTGTATACAGACTGGCTTTCTTTAAAGAATCAAGTTTGTATATGAGCCTTAAGAAAGAATTTAAAGATGGTATTGGATCTAATGATATAGACAGATAGTAAGGGATGGTGGTGAGCTCGTACATATATAAGAACCTGGTGTTAACTTTAGGTAATGTGACTGTTCTCCCAACATTTAACCAGTGAGTGTTCATTTTCACTTTAATAAAGGTCACAATTTAAAGGAATAATTACACGACCATACTAGCTACAGAAGGACATTATTCTCCAACCTACAGCATACATTTTGACAATTCAGATATGGTGTGGAATTTTAAAAGTTGGAAAGTATTCTTTTAAATTAAAATAAAATTTACACAAAATCAACCATTTAAAAGTGTAATTTAGTGACTTTTAGTACATTCACAATCTTGTACAACCATCACCTCTATCTAGTTTCAAAACATTTTCATCATCCCAAAAGGAAACCTCTAAGCAGTCCCCATTTGTCACTCTCTCTAGACACTAGCAAGGGAAATAATGTTTCAATGCAGTAGCTTAAAAATGTTTTCTGGTGCAAAACCCCTGTTAGTATTGACTTACTCAACTTGGTACCTAAATGTCTAAATGTTGTACTAAATTAGATACTAAATGATATCCAATTAAACAAGAAACAATATGCTGATGCCAACATTTATAAAAATGAATGGGTGGCAAAGTTTAAAAATAAGAGGAAATTATCCTCCCCTTTCCCCTCTTAAATGAGGAAACTTAGGTCAGCTCATCAAATAACTGTCTTTCCCTGAAGACAGATGAAAAACCACTGCCTTAATTAGCAGGTTCAGAGATGCTGTTTCCTTATAATCTACTTTAGTAGCTGTTTTAGTTCTCACTAAAGAAAACAGGAAAATCCTCTGTGGTTTTACTTCAAGTCAGTTCAATTTTATTTTATATTTTATTTTTTTAATCCTCCCTGAGGATATTTTTCCATTTATTTTCAGTCAGAGTGGGAGGAAGAGAGAGAGAGAGAGAAACATCAATGTGAAAGAGACACATCGGCTGGCTGCCTCCCACACAACCCTGACCAGGGCCAGGGACTGAACCACAACTGAAGTATGTGCCCTTGACTGGAATAGAACCCGCAACTCTTTGGTCTGCGGGCCAACGCTCTAACCACTGAGAAAACCAGCCAGGGCAAGTCAGTTCAATTTTAATCAGAATCTTATACCTAGTAAAGCAAAGAGAATCCCAGCTGCCATGGCTTACTGGTTGAGCATCAAACCATGCACCAAGAAGTCATCAGTTCGATTCCTGGTCAGGGCACATGCCCAGGTTGTGGGCCTGATCCCCAGTGGGAGGCATGCAAGAGGTGGCCAATTTTTGTTCTCGCTCAACGATGTTTCTATTTCTCTCTCCCTCTCCCTTCCTCTCTCTCTAAAATCAATAAAGCAAAAAATTGTTTTAAATGAATATGGGATGAGGTAGTTATTGTCAGTAACCTAAAAGTCAGATTTGCCCTGGCTGGTTTTGCTCAGTGGTTAGAGCGTCAGCCCGCAGAACAGAGTGTCCTGGGTTTGGTTCCCACTAAGGGCATGTACCTCAGTTGCAGTTTGTCCCCGGCCCCTGCTGGGGTTGTGTGGGTGGCAACCACTCGATGTGTCTCTCTCACATCAATGTTTCTCTCTCTCTCTCTTTCTCCCTTTCTCCCTCCCACTCTATCTGAAAATAAATGCAGAAATGTTCTCGTGTGAGGATAAAAAGAAAAAAAAAGGAAGATTCACCATCCAACAATACTGAACATGAAACAACGTATTAGGTCCCAGAATACACACAGAGAGAAAACATTAACTGTTCTTGTCTGATCAACAGAAATAGAAAATGGAAAGACAACTAGACAAACAAGCTGGCAAGAAAAGCATTCAACCTATACAGGATACAGGCACTTAAAAAAAATTCTCACCAAAGGGTATTTTCCCGTTTATCTTCAGAGTGAAGTGTAAAGAGATTGGGGGTGGGGGTAGGGAGAAACATTGATGTGAGACAGACACATCAATTGGCTGCCTTCTGCACGACCCCGACCAGGGCCGGGGACTGAACGGCAGCCGAGGTACGTGCCCGTGACTGGAATCAAACCCAAGATTCTGGTCTGTGGGCCGACGCTCCAACTGCTGAGCCAAACCAGCCTGGGCAGGATTCAGGCACTTTTTATTTAAAAGATCTCTATGACCAAGTACCCAACATCTTAAAAAAAAAAAATGACCAGAGATTTTAATATAAGACTTTTTTGACAAAGCTACTCTGAAAATAATCTTTAAAATAAACTGAATATCAGGGTCTGTGGTCACTTTACTTACAGTCCATGCTGTCCATTTGTTCCCATTTGTTCTGTTACCAGATCACCTATCTTTCTGTATATCTGGTGGCTTTGTGTCTTATTCTGAGTAAGGGTGTACACACACACACACACACACACACACACACACAGAAATGTACAGGGCTTGACAAAAATGATCCTCTTTTTCCTTGGGTGGTAGACAGTTATTTGGTCTTTGGGTGGTAACTAATGAAAGGAAAGGAAAGGGGGAAAGTGAAGAAAATAGAGGGCAAAAAAAGGAGAATCTGCCTTGGCCAGTGTGGCTCAGTTGGTTGGAGCATTGTCCTGTACACCAAAAGGTGGCAGGTTCGATCCTCAACAGTGGCAGGTATAGAGGCGGCCAATTATTTCTCTCTCTCCCTTCTTTCTAAAATCAATTTTAAAAAAATATTGAAAAAAAAAAAAAAGAGGAGAAGCTATGAAATCCTGGAGCTTTTGTCATATCCAAAGACACAGGGGGAGAGTATAAGTTCACGAAACAATGCAAAAGACTAGGTTTTTAACCTAGAGTTGCCAGTAAATGGCCTTTTTCTGGGCATGTGGGAGGGGGGTGGTATGGAGGACACTTCTGCCAACTTTTTTGAGTCAAACATCCTAAAAGTTAAGGAATTCTAAACTGAACAATCACGTGTAGTTCTACACTCCTCCAACCTCTACCTCATTGTCCTCTTCACTTCCTTTATTATAGGCATTTCTTAAGGTCCATCACTTTCCATCTATTAGCTCTTCTCTACTTTAAACAGCTTATTAACTGTCATAGTTTTTGTCTGTGTGAAGGAGGAAGCCTTCTTGTACTCGTTATAGTCCTCTTCTGTACACCACAAGTCTGTTCCTTTTGTGGGTTCTTCTATGGGGCTGTCACAACTAGTCCAATATTTTTGTATCTGTTTTTTGCTCGCAATAATTACTCCCTACTCCCAGTCTCCCTGACTATCTATGGCCAATAGTAGTAAGGAAATTGAGACAATGGGTGTGGACACAAACTACAGTGAAATATTGCAAAAATGGATAACATTTTATAGAGCAGAAACAGCAGAGCAATTAAACTTTTCAAGATCAGAACAGCGTGTGTATTCTTGAATACAGAGAATAAGGAGCGTGTAGAAGGGACAAAATAAAAAGTAAGTTAGTATTTATTTATTAAATATGTGTGCCATATGTATTCGGGCTTGAGAGTAGGAAGATATTAAGGGAACAAGGAGGCACACAATATTGAAGTGGGGCTAGCTTTGGAGAAGAGGCAGGATTCTTGGGAAGAATAAGAGACAAACTGTTACCTCAGACACATGATTAAAAAAAACAAAATGTGGTTTCAGAAGGTTGTAGAAAAGTTAATATATGATAAAGATTTCTTCAACTAACTGCACATGCCATGAAACTTTTCATCAAAAAACCACTTAGTAGTTTATCAGAAATTATTAAGAATGTTTTGATGTCTTACGTGCTCTATAACCAAACATTTCTTACATGCACAATTTCAAGAAAAGCAAAATAAATTTTAAAATAGATATCAATAAACCACCCAACATAGCTATCAACCAACCAAAAGGTTAACCAAAATTTATTTAACAAAATTTTGCTGCACTGTTGTTTATATTGCGAACTACAGAATAAAAATTCCTATGAAAAGACAAACTGGATAAACTCAACCACACCTAACCATCTGACAAAACCTGAAGTTTCCCTTAATCTAAAATCTCTATTCTTCCAAATATAAGATTCCCCAAAATTAATGATAAAAAGAAGTAGGTAAAAATCTTTCCTAGTTTTATTAGGAGGGGTGGGGTAGGGTAGGGTATATTTATATGTTTGTTCAAACTGTGTAGTTTGAAAGATGAAGATAAATTTGAGAGCAACAATCAATGTGTTAACCAGAGAACAGAAATAAAAGAACACCTCTGTTGACTAGATTCACTCTTACGATGATGGACTAAAATACCAGTCATCAGGTAGAAGGGAGCTTCTTCCTGTTGGCTTTGCGG